TATCGCGTAAAATATTAAAGCATGGCTATATGACTGCACACCTCGGACTGACAATCCAAGAGATCAAATCAGCTGTGTGTGATCGAAACAAGTAGACAACTGTAATTATAAAACTAACCTTAGAAACTAAAACAGACATTGGTACATGACTTAACGGTTGGTTTGGATTGAGGTAAACAAAACTAAGCTAATCCGATCCTATAAATTGGAAYACAAAATTGAGTTGTAAARTCATTTTCTAATCATTTTTTGTTACATTTTATTCTTCACAGGAGTTTGTGGAAGAAGGTCGAAGTCGCTCCAATATCCACGAAGCCAAGTACCTTGCAGCACTTTGTCGATATTTCATCCTACAAGGCTACAAGCGAGARCARATTACAATACTAACAATGTACACTGGCCAGCTATTAAAACTTAAAAATGAAATGCCTCGTGACGTTTTCGAAGGCGTTCGAGTCTGCGCAGTAGACAACTTCCAGGGTGAAGAGAACGATATCATTCTCCTCTCCTTGGTAAGGAGCAATGAAGAGGGCAAGATAGGGTTTTTACGAACACATAATCGAGTATGTGTGGCTTTGTCACGTGCCAAGCAAGGATTTTACTGCATTGGGAACATAGATTTGATGTGCGAGAAGGAGGTTCTCTGGAAAAACATCATCGATGACATGAGAAGCAAAGGAAAGGTATGATAGTGTCGTCACGTGATGTACGTTCACTTGCAGCATTGTCGAATGTGAACAGTAGAGACCTATTGTTGATGTCCCAAATAAGAATAATTTGATGCATGGTTGGATAGAGTATTTTCTTCAGGAAGACATGGAGGACTCTCAGCGTTGCAACCAGCAGCTAGATCTTCCTCTTTTTTTGTGTTGTCGAAACAGGTTTTGTGTAAACCGAAACGCTCAAAAGATATATTATAAGAAAGAGCCTTTCCTGACATGGGCAAGAATTCTATACAGTTCATCGGTTTGAGTTTCGGTCGCGGAATAAAATAATAGTCTTTTACGGTTAGTACTTCAAGAAAGACCCGAACAGATATATACCATGAATCTACCCTATACCTTATACAGTTATATACTATCTAGTAGGTGCCAATTCATTGCGTATTTCATGAAGTACTGACCCTTACTTATGYTTTTCAATCTCAGTTTCTGATAAGCCGCCATACTTTTTTGAGTATAGCAGCACGTGAAGTGACCATGCTCGTCAGCCATAATGAATTCGGCCCATGATGTTTTCGACAGCAAAGAAAATTTGATCTATTCAAAATCGTGTTTATGTGGTTATTTCAAGCAAATTTTCCCTTCWAGGTTGGTCGACACCTTACTTTAACATGTCAGAAACATCCCCAGAATATCATTCACGCGTCTTGCCCTGAAGACTTCAGGAAAGCACCGGAAGGAGGCTGCATGGAGCCATGTGACACAAGACTTGACTGTGGTCACGTGTGTAAAAGTGTCTGTCACCCAGGTGATCCTGATCACAAGGAGTACAAGTGTCGTGAAATGTGCACCAGRATGTTATGCGAGGTACAGTTAATTTACTTGTTCTTAAATGAAGGACCAAAGACATTCTGTGACCGTTATGTAAAACACGACATCTTTTAATCGTGTTGTGACTGAGGACGTCCTCTGAATTCCAGTTTAACATGCCAAATTTCTGTGGTCTTGAAGAAAATCCCAGTCCTATAATTAAAAAAAAATCATCTACAAAACAGGCAAACCCAAGCTCGGATTCTSCCCTGATCCTAATTTACCCTAGTCCTTTGTAGATAAATTCTACCGCAATAATCCCGCTGATCGTAATCTTTATCAGGTCCACAAATGTACGAAACTCTGCTGGCAAACATGTGGGAAGTGCTTCTTTCTCGTAAGTAAAGAGATCCCAGGCTGTCAACACCAACAACCAGTTCCATGCTTCCAAGACCCCAAAGAGTTCAATTGCCGAGCTCCATGCTTAAAATTGTTAGCGTGTGGAATGCACCACTGTACAAGAAAATGTTCTGACAAATGCGACGAGAAGTGTCGAGCGAAAGTCAAAATAACACTCAAGTGTGGCCATGAAAATAYTGTTGAATGTCACATGCGCAATGATATGATMATGTGCAAAGCTCCTTGTGGCGAGCYGTTGAGCTGCGAACATSCCTGCAAAGGTATTGTATAAAGTTGAGCTCCACCTTACTGCCACTTGCTTTATAKGGTCAAGGATGTTACAACGACCATTCGATGTTCCTTCTCTGCGCGGAATTGTGCGCTTATCTATATATCGAYCGGTTTTGAGACGCATTTACTCKAGCATACAAAATCTTGCATTYTTATCCTTTCTCTCTAATTTATTTCCTAAATCCATCGTATCATCCATGGGACAAATGGCTTTTTGGTCCCTCCTCTTATCCATCGTCTTTTRCGACTTATTGCTTTATTATACAGGTACATGTGGGGAATGCTTTGAAGGTCGTGTTCATCTTCCGTGCAAATCCAAATGTGATCGGTCACTGTTTTGTGGTCATCTTTGCAAAGAACCCTGCACAAAGAACTGTCCACCTTGTTCAAAACCCTGCGAAAACAAATGTGTCCAYAGCAAGTGCCAAAGGAAGTGCGGTGAATCCTGTGTACCATGCATGATGCCTTGCGAATGGAAATGTAAGCACTACAAATGCTCTAAACGCTGTGGTGAACCGTGTGACAGACCAAGATGCAASRAASGCTGCAGAAAGAAGCTTCCATGTGGTCATSAGTGTATTGGTATGTGTGGCGARCCTTGTCCGAYGAAGTGCCGAGTATGCAATAAAGACRAGGTCACSGAGATCYTTTTYGGAGAKGAAGATGAGCCGGATGCYCGATTTGTTGAGCTGCARCCGTGTGGTCACTTGATTGAGGTGAACGCCATGGACTATTACATGGACGATGTCTCATCAGATGAAAGATCTAGTATACAACTGAAAGGGTGAGCGTTTTTATGATGGTTATCTTAACATTTTTAAGGATAACAATTTTTTTGACTAGGTTTCTTCATCTTCTGCGTGTTCGTTAACTTTGGTTGAGGTTGTAAATTAATCAAGCCTAGCAGTTTTTAAAAAATGAATGGTATTTCTAATATGACACATAGATAATACCGTCAAATGTGTACTTTTTTATATATAAAACCATTCTTGGTTTTACGACACTCAGGATCAGTAAATCAAATGAATTTTTTTAMCCATACAAATGCTTGGCTGTTAATTACCTTTAAATAAGATAAGAAAGGATATTCTAAAATCTTATTTATTTTCTTTATATCGCCTCATTTTAAAGCACAGCACAAGGTCGTGTCAGATTGTACAAGTTCGTCCCGTATGCTTTTCAAAATTTGAATACAATTATTTTATCTTCATTTATTTTTCATGAATTTCAAAATTCAATATAACGTTTCTGTACTTTAAATAAAAGGTGTCCACGATGTAAGACATCAATCAGAACCGCCCTACGCTATGGTGACATAATTAAGAAAACCTTAGCGGACTTCGAGAAGGTCAAAGCTAAGCTCATTGTTCCTGACYACAAACTAAAAATGGAATCCGCAAGATTGCTYGACAAGCTATACCGTGAAAAACTCCACAAGACGCTTAAAAAAGATGCAGACAAGATCATCAATTCTGTYAGTTTGAAAGGATTGACGTCCGAACAGCTCAACATGTACGAGAACCAAATTAACTTCCTTTCCTTCTTAAGCAGAGTTATATCGGGAATAGAAAGTGGAATTTCAAAGATTCAATCAGGAACGATTACGAGAGAGCGYATGCGTTTGTTTCGAAGATACATAAGCAACGATGGCCGGTTTGATGACATTGCTCGTGAGACCGAAGCATTGGCTGAGCCACTTAGAAAAAGAATCATGATGCTAAGAGGACGATTCAGCGACCAGGAGAAGGAGGAAATTAATAATGAATTATTACGACTGTCTCTGGTTGTATCGTACAATACCTTTGTACATATGAAGGAAATTCAGCCAGACCACATGGTCGAACCAATACTTGGGCGCATTTCAGACGCTATTGAGTCACGACAGAAAATAAGTAAGTATAACGTCTACTTCCATTATTTCTCTTCTTTGAAACCTTAAAGGGTTTCGACTTGGGTTCAGACACTGGTACAATTCAACAATCTCACTGGCTTGTGCCCGTCATCATAAAGTTCTCTCAGAACAATCGGTCGGACTCTTAAAAAGCGCGCACAACCCTCTTTGGATACACTCACTCCCAGTCTCACAGTCTCAGTCCGCTACATAAGAATTGTAAAAATTATAAATTTTTAACCTTTACTATTAGCTCCATACACTTTATGTGAAAGATTTGATATTACCTTTTCTTTTCAAAATACTTTGAAATGCTTGAATTAAAAGCGATTCCTGAAAATATCTTAGGTAAGGATGACATAGACCGTTACATGAAGGAGATCAAAGACCTATCHAAGAAGCATGGATTGGACGTATTTTATCAAGACATAACAGACAAGGAAAAAGACATGATCGTCAAAGCAATGGGGATGGCACAAGGTCACTGGTTCAAATGTCCCAAAGGTGAGAARTCAGCTATATAAAAAGTTAAACATTTAGATGATCGTCGACGTAATATATATATATATATATATCATACTAAAGAAATGGAAACCATATACAATCTTGACAATACTCCCTTTGCTTTAGTTGCAATAATCTTTTCGGTCTATTGCAGGTCATATCTATTGCATTGGTGACTGTGGAGGTGCTATGGWGGAAGGCCAGTGCCCCGAGTGTGGATCTACAATCGGTGGTACTAACCACGCCCTACGAGGTGACAACGCCCTGGCAAGGGAGATGGATGGAGCAAGGCATGCTGCATGGTCCGACTTTACCAACAATATGAGGAACTTTGACTTTGATGATTTTTAGAATCAGCGGGTGTTGAGACACGGCTTTCTGAAGACGGACATGGTACTAATATCGTGGGTGCTAATATCGTGGGTACTAATATCGTGGGTCCATAAATTGCATGGTCTTTTTTTAAATCTCATATTCAAAAGCATCAGCGCTTTCCTTAGTTACTTTTTGTCATCTTGGTGATCTCAAAAAGGATGCTTAGGCTTTAATTGTGAATAAATCTAAACAAATGTTTTAAAGACGCTTCAAAACTTGTCCCTATGGGCTTGGGACTAGAGCTTCCAAGGGTGTTCTCGAAACAGTTTAAAATAATTTGTTATGATGTAKGTTTTATTGGGTACACACTGTAACGTGCAAAGATGTTTTAATTCTGTATAAAAGCATTAATTTGACTAGCATTAAAATCTGATAAACTTCAGCTTACATGATTTTTATAGAGCACGAATGGGGAGCAAGAATGGCCGAGCGGTTAAAACACCGGTCTATCACCGCTGTGGTCCTGGTTCGATTCCCGGTCCGGGACCGATATGTGATTTTAGTTTATCATCATGCGAACACGAATGCGATTTCGAGCTGATCGCAGAACGAGAAAACAGAAAATCAAGGGAAATGCGGGCGCGAGTTTATGATTTGGAGCTACACCTACTTGCAGAAACGTTGGCATAGAAAATAGAACATTCGAATTGAGTAAAAAAGGAATAAATTAAAACAAGACAAAAGAAAGCGTTCAGTCTCCGCGATCTTCTTTTGTCTTTTTAATCTGTTCCTTTTTACTAAATACAAACGTCCTATTTTTTGTGACAACGTCCTCGCAAGTAGGTGTATCTTCAAAAGTTCGGGTAATCAAACAGGTTGTTCATAAGCCACGTGATATGATAACATCATCAGGCCTATCACGTGATATGATAACATCATCAGGTCTATCAGGGAATGTCAGAGGTATGGGCTCATTTTTTGTCTTATAAGACTTGGCGTGTGCCGTACTTGCCTTTGCTTGATTTGACACCATGAAGACAGGGTAAAAGCCCCTTCACATGATTCACATGATGGTGATATTTGAACTACGCAGAATTAATTAAAGATCACATTAAGAAATGCTAACTGTCAAAATTTTCAGTTTTATCGACCAGATCAACACCGATCAACATTGAATGATTTACAGYCTTTCAAAAAATCTAGAATTCCTAAGGAATGTTTAGGATTTTAAACGATGCGTCCAGATTATCCACATTCCCATACGTTTACTTGTAAAATCTAGATTTTTTCAGCATTTTACTTAATAAACAGAAAAATTGTGCGAGGTAAGGGACAGGCAATTGCTTGTTTCCGAACAATCATCACGTGATACCCATTTCACTTCCTGTATGGTATTTCCGAGAAGTCTTCAACCTTGATTATTTCTGGGAATCCTGACACACGCTAAGATCACGCGAAATCACTCAAAAATGTATTTTTCGATGTCTTGAATCTTTACTTGTAAGACACTGGTTTATTACTAAATGACAGTTTAGTTTTCAGACTGAAGTTGCTGTTGAGTGCAAGGGAATGGAGAATAGCCTTCATAGCATGTTATAGAGCTTAGTTCAGTGGACTTTGTAGTAGCGAGTGACTACAAAGACATCGAAGGTAAGCGAGATTTCCTTCTATTGTTATTCAGCCATGTGATTTTTGATTTCTTTGAAGAAACAATAACAAGCTTATGTCCATGCCAAACCATTGCGACAAAAAAAAGTTGTAACTGATGTATATAATCTGCATTTCGAGTTCCTTATTTCTTTTATTAAACAGAATTATTTCAGTACTAAAGCTGCAGTATTCATAAGAGAAAAGCAGTTCAAATTTCATAGGTCTTAACTCACGCAGTCGAGGGAAATGGATATGAGCTATGGGGTATATTAAAGATAACATGAACTCAAAATTGCGTGGATTGTAATAAATCCTGGACTCATGGACAGCGGGTACATGGAGAAGGTCTTTATATGAAGCAATAATTGACCACGAGGTCGATTGGTCCACTATTTTCGCTTCACTCGATGTGAAAAGCAATAATAACAACTCAATCATATTATGTCAAAATTGAAAAAGCACATGACAAATTCGAAAGATCTATAGGCTGTGCACTCTTTTCTAATTTATGTATTCACGTATATCGTATTTTCAAACGGCGAACATCGAACTGTTTTCCAACCAACTCTTCACTTTACCTATAATACGTTGTAATGGTCTTTTCGCACAAATCTTTGTAAAACTCTATCGCTTCGTATGCTTTCTCCCTGTCAGATTTTCCATTCTTTGATCACTTCACCCCCACTGCAAGTTGATTTCACATAAAATTCTTTGTCCAATTTTGCAGCTTCTGCTAGAACGCCTGGATTTCCTTGGCCACTGCGTATTTCATCTGTTTTGATTGTACCCCTTCTTGTCTTCTAATTGCGCGGACTTGAAATCCCGTCCAGTCCTCATTGTCGGACCTACAACTTTCGCATGCGACCTGCGTAAGTCATCCTTACGACATGGCTACAACTGTCGTGAGCCTATTAAGCCATTATTTAAAATCCCTACGACAGTTGTAGCCATGTCGTAAGGATGACGTACGCAGGTTGCATGCGATGGTTGTAAGCAAAAGTTGTGTCGTCTAAATCGGCCTTAAACATTACGTTGACCTTGGAGGTAGCGAGGAAGCCTCGGTAATTCTGGTCAGTTCATATGTATACATTTTATTACAGTTCCACAACGTGGGTTCTCTCTTTTGCCAACAAAAGAAGTTATTTCCACTACTTCCTTCCTCTTAAACTTTTCCAAATGAAAGAATATAACGTTTAATATAATAAACGAAATATTTAATTTTATATATAAATAGACATGTCGACTCTTGAGGGTGGTCACTGCCAGAGATTTGTTTACGTCCTCAGTGGTTCTTTTACGTCCACCTTATAACCTTATAGGCCTTTAAGACCTGAGTCCGGTCGCCTAACCACTAGACTATCACGTCTCTCTCAGTATCATTGAAATGAACCAATGAACTTCCTTTCTATGTTTATAAGAGTTGTTCCAAAAGACTTAGGAGTGTAGGAACATCGTGAATAACTGATGGAATTATCGTTTTCTTTCTCTAGGCTCTCGAGAAATGTCCTCGTATTCTCATCCTGGGCGCGGTTCACGAGGTGGTAAACAAAGACATGGTGCATTGAGGGGTGGAAGGGGAAATCAAAAGCGAGGTGGTGGTCGTGGGGTTGGAACACAAGGTATCATTATCTTTGCTTTGTTTACAGTGTTTTCAGAATAAGTTTGCATAACAGAAAAGGGAGATGGCAGAAATGGTCAATTGAATATGACATTTGATGATTAATAACTTGGGGGGGGGGGGGAGGAAAGCTTAAAAAATGCATACTGATTTCCATTTAATAAAGTGTATTTTCCATATTCACTGCAAACAAATATATTTCCATTTATTCAAGTGTATGATTTGAAGTATTACAAGCTAGAACTTCAATGAGCTGCTAATGTAATTCTCGTTTTCTTTTTCTGGGTTGTCTAGGAACGTCCTTGTGCTCTCCCATTTCCAGGGGGCGCGGTCACCGAGGAAGTAACAGAGGCGGTCGTGGTGCAGTGCGAGGTGGAATGGGTGTCCAACGAGGCGCTAGTCGTGGAGGGGGACCCTCGCGAGGTCTGTTTACAAATAATATAAATCCTTGTCCATTTTTCCTCAGCTAGTTAATTTTGTATTTACACTACAAATGAAAAAAAGATATTATAATAATTGAAGAAAAAAATGTTAAAAAGAAGTATAAGCCGAGACGAATCAAATCGTCGAAAATGTTTTCAACTCAAAGCAGTGTAGTAATCGCTATTCATTTATTTAACCAGTCTTAGTTTTCAGTGCAGTTTCGTAGAATGTGTTTTAAATGTTTCATTTTTCTCGTTATTCCCCAGGTGGTCCGTCAAGATCAAACGAAAACCTGGAAACACTTAGTTTTCAAAATCTCCAATCAATGGCTGACAAAGACCCTGACGCTCTGGTTCAGGACATAACGTCGGAGAAATGCTTACCTGAGCTGGAAAATCTTGTTTCAGACTTGCGTATGGATGAAAAGAAAGTAGTTGTTGTTTTAAAAGTGTTTGCCAGGGCTTGTGAATGTTCCACTCAAAGATCACTTATGAAATTATTAATCCTTCTACCAAAGTCACCTTACATAAGCATGCATTTGTCAAGCTACATCAATAGAATGACAATTATGGACTTAGACGTTCAAGAAAGAGAAGATCAATTCAGGATTATGATAAAGCTCTTTATCACAATTTTAACAAGTTCCCCGAGTTCTTATGCAGACCTTCCGATTCCTCATCTCTACCTCGTGACTTCTTTCCTAAACAAGAAAGGAAAACTTAACGATGAAAAAACTCTGTCTGAGATTAAAGGGTTGAGTTCTTTGAAAGAAGAAATGACAGAGAAAGTGAAGCAGGAGGGTGGCGGAAAGAGTAAAATAATGCCAAGGAGAAGAAACCCGAGGGATGAAGGTATAAAATTGCGCATATATTAGGGGGCCCGAGTGCATGCACTCTCTCAAACTAAAATGCTAATTTCATACAATAAATTGGTGAACAATAAAATAAACACTGAATAAGCATGACATTCTTATAGACCTATCTAGTAATCAAGAACCAGCTTATTTCTACAACTAATTTAATTTTGTTAAAAGATGTTTTGGCAAAAATTATAATGTTATCAGTTTCTTCATCTTTTTTTTTTCTTCTTCTTCTTTTGATCAAACATTTCTCCACTTTGGGATGAATCCTGGCCAATTGACGTTAATTTTTAT